ATGCTACCCAAAGCTCCATCCACCAGCTGAAAAGTTCTAGCATTCACATAATGAAGACATTTCTGGAAATGGCACATGAATCAAACATGATCTTTGTCTTGGTCATTAGTCAACGAAGCAATTTCATCAAGCCATAAAGCATAATTTTTGATGGCTTGTATCATGGTTGGGAGACAAAGTGTCACCTTGATGTTTGGAAAGGAGGAGTATAATTCAGAATGTCCTCTTCCTTGTGTACATTTCAGGAAACAGGTGACAAATCCACCGCTCCCGAGAGAGAGAGAGAGAGAGGGAGGGAGGGAGGGAGGGAGAGAGAGAGGGAGGGGGAGAGGGAGAGGGAGAGAGAGAGAGATGCAAGCTTTGAGTATGGCTCTCTGAAAGATGGATTTATTTGTGATAAAATAATTCTGGGTACCAATAGTAAAAGCACACACCGCCACCTTTTGAGGAAACATAATTTAAGTTTACAAGTAGCAATTGAGATATATCCTACCACAGAATTTACTGACAAAATGGATGAAAGCTTTAGAGCAGGATAAACAGATTGACAGTGTCAATGCAGCCTCCAAACAACCGCTAAGCATGAAGAACCATAAGTGCCAGCACAAAATTCATCTACACAACACTCTCTCTCCCTCTCTTCCTGTCTCCCTCTCTCTCTCTCTCTCTCTCTGCAGTTATCATGTATAAAAACAAGATTCCATAACTTTTTTGCAACTGTGTGTCCATCATTTTTGAGAGGGGGGGGGGGGGGGTTCAATCTACATTTATCTTTTGTAAAGTGTGGAATGGTTTAGGCCACAGGGGTGGGCAACTATGGCCCTTTTATAACTTGTGGACTTCAACTCCCAGAATTCCTGAGCCAGCCATGTTAGCTCAGGAATTCTGGGAATTGAAGACCACAAGTCATAAAAAGGCCATAGTTGCCCACCTCTGGTTTAGGGATGCTAACCTATCCTCAAGAGGTCATTTGATTTCCCTTCTCCTTTGAATGCATATCTCCCTCCCCCCACTCTCTCTCATCTCTCTCTTTCTCATCTCTCTCTCTCTTTCTTTCTCTCTCTCTCTCTCTCTCTCATCTCTCTCTCTCTCTCTCTCTCTCTCTCTCTTTCTTTCTCTCTCATATCTGTCTCTCTTTCTCTCATCTCTCTCTCTCATCTCTCTCTCTCTCATCTCTCTCTCTTTCTTTCTTTCTTTCTTTCTTTCATATCTGTCTCTCTTTCTCTCTCTCATCTCTCTCTCTCATCTCTCTCTCTCATCTCTCTCTCTCATCTCTCTCTTTCTTTCTCTCTCTTTCTTTCTCTCTCATATCTGTCTCTCTCTCATCTGTCTCTCTCATCTCTCTCTCTCTCTCTTTCTTTCTCTCTCATCTCTCTCTCTCTCTCTCTCTCTCTCTTTCTTTCTTTCTCTCTCATATCTGTCTCTCTTTCTCTCTCTCATCTCTCTCTCTCTCATCTCTCTCTCTCTCTCATCTCTCTCTTTCTCTCTCTTCTCTCTCTCTCTCTCTCTCTCTCTCTCTCTCTCTCTCTCTCTCTCTCTCTCTCTCTCTCTCTCTCTCTCTCTCTCTCTCTCTCTCTCTCTCTCTCTCTCTCTCTCTGCAGTTATCCTGTATAAAAACAAGATTCCATAACTTTTTTGTAACTGTGTGTCCATCATTGTTGTGGGAAAGGGGGTGAGGTGTCAATCTATGTTTATCTTTTGTAAAGTGTGGAATGGTTTAGAGTTGCTAACCTATCCTCAAGAGGTCATTTGATTTCCCCTTTGAATGCATATCTCCCTCCCTCTCTCTCACCCTCCCTCCCTCCTTCTCTCTCTCTCTCATCTCTCTCTCTCTCTGAGAAAAAATAGGAATTCTTTCTGAAATCCACTTTTGTTCTCTCTAAGAGATGGAAGTTCCAAGTTTATATAACAGTCATTGCTTTATTAAAGTCGATTAATCTTCTGCCAAGGGCTACTTTGCTTTCTCTGCATGTCATTTTGGGTTCCATAACAGATAGAAGGCATTATATAGATATACTGCAAAAAAGAAATAGAAAATAAATAATCCTGACCCATAAGCAAAAGTTTAATAGACTTTGGATTTTCCCTAACAGCATGCCATAACAGCTAAAATTTTAGCTTATCAGACTATTTTTCCTCACTGGTAAAAGCAAAATTATTAGGTTCATTTTTATATATTTACTGTTATGCCAAAAGAGATTTGTCAATGTTTTTTGTAACTATTCCTAGAGGGAGGGAATGTATGAAACAGTTTCCTCACCCTTTTAGAAGAAAAACAATATAAAATTTCTCCTTTGCTGTTCTTTAAAAGCAGCTTCAAAAGATTATTTGAAATATTATCCGGTACAGTGTTGACTTTTAGAAAACTTTATTTGGCTGAGACCAGACTCAATTTAATTTCATTTAAACGTGAAATTAAATATGATAAATAAGGCTACTCTTATCACATTAAATTAAATTAAATGTGATAAATAGGGGTACTTTTATCACATTAAAAATAAATAACTTTCCGAGATCTTGGACAGAACCCAACAGCTAATGAGTCTGTTCTGAACATGGATATTTGCTGCCTCCCTGTGGTTAAAGTGAATTATTTTGTTTTTTTTTTTGAAATGAATCTGTATGAAATGAGAAAAATAAAGCATAAAAATGCTTCGGTCTTTTGGTTTTGTATTGTGTTCCTCTCTTCCATGCATGAAAACCTTAATACCCTGTTTCTCCCAAAATAAGACACCCCCTGATAATAAACCCAATTGGGCTTTTGAGCGTATGCGCTAAAATAACCCCCCCGAAAATAAGCCCTCCCCAAAAATATTTAAACCCATGCGCAGCAGGTCCCCTCCATTTCCTCTGGTTAGGGTTAGGGAGATAGAGCTGGAAATCAGGTAAAACGGCAAGAGGAGCCCCATCTTGCTCCATGCTCCTCAAAATAATAAGACCTCCCCGAAAATAAGACCAAGCGCTTATTTCGGGGTTCAAAAAAAATATAAGACAGGGTCTTATTTTTGGGGAAACATGGTAGTTCTTTTTAATTAATTAAATCCTGCCTGCCCTTGTCTGAAATGGTATAGGGTCTGTGAGCTGGACTAGAAGACCTCCAAGGCCCCTTCCAGTTCCCGAAAATAAGACCCTGTCTGATATTTTTTTGAACCCTGAAATAAGCGCTTGGCTTTATTTTCTGGGAGGTCTTATTATTTTGGGGCACATGGAGCAAGATGGGGCTCCTCTTGCCGTCTTACCTGATTTCCAGCTCTGCGTTTAAATATTTTCAGGGAGGGCTTATTTTCAGGGGGGAGGTTTATTTTAGCACATGCACTCAAAAGCCCGATTGGGCTTATTATCAGGGAATGTCTTATTTTCGGGGAAACATGGTACAAGTAGCCCTCAATTTACAACCACAGTTGGGATTGGACACATCATCCTTACCTGGCATGATTGTTAAGTGAGGCCTTATATGATTTTATGACCTTTTTTGCTGCGGTTGTTAAGCAAGACATCACGTGACTGTGATTTGCAACCATCCCTGCCAGTTCGTCCATTGATTTTGCTCGTTAGAAAGTGGCTGGGAAAGTGGCAAATGATGATCATGTGACCCCAGGATGCTGCAGCTGTCATAAATGCAAACCAGTTGCCAAGTGCCTAGGTCAGGGGTCAGCAACCTGCGGCTCCGGAGCCTCATGCGGCTCTTTGGACCCTCTGCTGTGGCTCCCTCTCAGGTGATCCCACCACTGGCTGGCCCCACCCCTCGTCCTCCCCTCCCAGTCACTCCTCGCCTGGCCTGAGAAGGTAAGGGCGACGGCGGGGGATGGAGAAGTGGCTAGGGCAGAGACAGAGAGATACAGACAGAGGGGGAGACAGAGAGACATAGAGACACAGAGAGAGGGAGAGGGGAAGAGAGGGAGGGAGGGGAGAGAGAGAGATGTCAAAAGAATTTTGTGGTTCCCAGTGTTTTTTAACAACTGGTTCTCGGCCCTAATGACCGGCTGGGTAGACGTGGCTAGGGGGGTGGTGGTCATGTGATTGGTGGAAGTGAGTGACATCGAGTTGGCCACGCCCACCCAGGTTTTGTGGCTCCCGATGTTTTCTTTTCTGTGGGAAACGAGACCAAATGGCTCTTTGAGTATTTAAGGTTGCAGACCCCTGGCCTAGGTCACGTGACTGGGAAGATGCTATGAGGGTCATGTTTTTCAACACCTGTTTCCCTGAAAATAAGTCCCAACCGGAAAATAAGCCCTAGCATGATTTTTTCAGAATGTTCTTAATATAAGCCCTACCCCAAAAATAAACCCCAGTATCAGTATTTCCCAAAAACTAAGACATCACCTGAAAATAAGCCCTAATGCGTCTTTTGGGGCAAAAATTAATACAAGACTCGGTCTTATTTTCGGGGAAACATGGTTGTCATTTCAAACGGACATTAAACGAATGGTTGTAAATTGAGGACTATGCATACAGATAGTCCTTGACTTACAACAGTTCATTTAGTGACCATTTGAAGTTACAACGGCACTGAAAAAAGTGACTTATGGCCATTTTTCACACAACCATTGCAGCATCTCCATGGCCACATGATCAAAATTTGGATGCTTGGCAACTGACTCGTGTTTATGACGACCGCAGTGTCCAGGAGTCACACAATCCCCTTTTGCAACCTTCTGACAAGCAAAGTCAACGGGGAAGCCAAGATTCATTTAACAGCCAGGTTACTAGCATAACAACTGCAGTGATTCACTTAACAACGGTGACCAAAGAAGTCGTAAAATAGGGCAAAACTTTTTAAACAACTGTCTCGCTTAGCGACAAAAGTTTTGGGCTCAATTGTAGTCATAAGTCGAGGACTACCCATATTTTTTTTGGGACACTGTAGGAATCTTTGGCTTAACAACAACCTTGCAGTCAGGATAAAAGCTCTCTCTTTATCTCCCCAACCCTTTTAGAGAATTGCCGATAGAAAGAACCCCTGACAATATTTCAGTTTCCCTTCTTCTCTTTTCCTCCAGATTTCTGATCGTGCTGGGATGCCTGATTTTAGCAGTGCTGACCACTTTTGGAGAATACGAAAAAGCTTCTGGATATTGGCTCTTGCTTTTGGTAAGCAAAAATGGGCTTATGGCAAAGTTGTTGATATACCTGTTCTGCCAAGGTGACTTGAACAGGATTCCTTCCAGAGGTGGTATTCATCCGGTTCGGACCGATTCGGGCGAGCCCGTAGCGGTGACCTGCGGGTGGGCCTGCCCACCCACTCAGATGCAATCCCGTCGTTTTTTTTAAAATTTAATTTCTATTCAACATTTACATTTTTAACATCCTTGTCACGTTTTTACGGCTTTCCGATACCGGCATCTTTGATAATATCTATTTTATCTTTTAACCAACTATATACACATACATTTTATATATTACTTACTCATTTCTATATTCACTACAATTTATACCTATCTATTACACAATAACTATTTTGCTCCTCTCTAATATCTTCTCTTACGTTTATACATTTATATTTTGGATTCTTTCTCCAACCAATTACACCATCTATTCCATGCCTCGTAATAAATTGTTTCCTCTCGGTCTTTTAACTTATATCCTGTCTTATATTGCTGTGTTTTTGACGTTGTACACATGCGCGGATGGCACGCACAAGCAAATTGCCATGTTTTGTGATGCCGCATGCATATGCACACACATGCATATTTTGTGATGCCACACGCATGCCACACACTCACATTTCTGGTGCTGAGCAATCTGGTAGTAACAGTAAGTGAATCCCACCTCTGGTTTCTTCCCTTGAAGGAGTTTAATTTTTTTAAAATTTATCCAATTTATTTGTCCAATTTATACGGCCACTCATCTCACCCAAAATGGCTCTGTGAGTGGCATGCAAAAAAAGCAAGTCTGTAGAGATTCTCAGTCACCCAGATCATGGTTGTCCCAAAGGTGCTTTTTTCAGGAGGCAACTGGACTTTCTCATTTTTTTTTTCTTTTGAAGACGTTTCGCTTCTCATCCATGAAGCTTCTTCAACTCTGGCAGGATAGTGGGGGTAATGGAAGGATTTATACAGGGGTGAAATGTAAAATTTGTTACTACCGGTTCTGTGGGTGTGGCTTGGTGGTGGTGGGGTAATGTGACAGGGTGGGCGTGGCCAACTTTTTTTTTTTTAACTTTTCAAAGCATTTTTTCTAATGCTTTGAAAAGCCTCTGCCGATCAGGCAACTCAGCTGGGATCGTCAGAGAGACTTTTTAAAAAATGCCTCTCTGCCGATCAGGCAACTCAGCTGGGATCGTCAGAGAGGCTTTTTAAAAAATGCTTTGAAAAGCCTCTCTACCATTTAGACAATTCAGCTGGGATCGTCAGAGACTTTTCAAAGCATTTTTTTTACCACCTCTTCGGCCAAGAGGTTGCAGAAAAAAAATGCTTTGAAAAGCCTCTGAGGATCCCAGCTGAGCCGCGCGATCATCAGAGGCTTTTTTTTTTACTTTTAAAAGCATTTTTTCGTCGGAAGAGGTTGTAGAAAAAATGCTTTTAAAAGTAAAAAAAAGAAAGCCTCTGATGATCGTGTGGCTCAGCTGGGCATGGTGAGGAGGGCGCAGGGATTTTTGCTACCGGTTCTCCGAACCACCCGCCGCCATCGCTACCGGATCAGGCGATCCGGTCTGAACCGGGAGCATTTCACCCCTGGATTTATATTATTTTAGAAAAAACAAGGACGTCCAGTTGCCTCCTGAAAAAAAAACACCTTTGGGACAGTAAAACCAAGTTTTAAACCTTTTTGCAAACCCATTAAAATAATCAACCTGGATAAAAACAAGACTATGATAGGGAAGATATTTACATGAAGTATAACCAGAATTCAAGCTCCCTATTTGATCCCTAAGCTTGCTGGGGAAAAAAAACCCCAAATTTTGAGAGCTTTAGAGAAGATTATTGGGGTGATCTAACTTCATTTGGGAGGGATAATGGTCCAGAGGACAGATGCAATGGCAAAATTGACTCGCTTCCTGGATCCCATCAGGTAGAACTCTTCGGTGGGTGAGACCAGGGGTGGGTTGCTACGGGTTTGCACGGGTTCGGGCGAACCCATAGCTAACATTATAGTTGTTTCAGCGAACTGTTAAATCCCATCCCTGGCTGGAGAATTCTGGGAGTTGAAGTCCACAAGTCTTAAAGCTGCCAAGTTTGAAGATCTCTGGAATAGACAGTCCCAGGTTTAGCAGTCTTCCTTGATGTAAGGGACTTGCATGGTTTCCAGTAGATGTGGACAAAATATATCAGAATCAAAATGTCCTGACTCTGAAAATCTTGTTCCTGGTTTGTTGGAAATGCTCTGTCAGAGTGTTTACAGCATGACTACTATTTTGAGACCACTCAGGAGCAAAATACAGGACACAGAGGTTTGTCTTACCAGCAGTGGTTTATATACAAGACTTCTATATACATACATACATACACGTGGTAGGCACATACCAGGCAATCAATCAATCAATCTTCATCTCTACATGGAGAACTACAATGCAGATAGAACACAAGCAGGATACACGAGGAGAGAGAAAGAGAGAGAGAGAGACCCTCTAATGGCCTTCCTTATATAGACAGCTTCTTAAAGTGGCAGTAACCCTACTGACTCATCCTCAGTTCATCATCTTGATTTACAGCCTTATAATGGCTAGTCAGCTTTAAATCTTCATTACCCTGACATGCTCCATTACTGGAACAAGCTTCCCAACCTTACTAGAAATGCTGTGAGGTCAGAATCCGTCAATTCAACCTTACGGGAAGTCTTCTATGATTGGAAATTTACTGGAAGGATTCCATTGTAAATGGAATGGGCCACCCCGGTTTTTCTGGGAGAGTTTCAGTCTCTTGAGACAGGACCACTTCTGGTGGGGTCAGTGACTCTTCCAGTGACCTTCAAACTATTTACTAAGTTTGCACTACTATTAATCTTCTCATCTTCTCTTCGTTCCCATCACCCATCTCCTTTCACTAATGACTGTATGACTGTAACTTTGTTGCTTGTATCCTTACGATTTATATTGATATTGATTTCTTATTTGTACTTTATGACTATCATTAAGTGCTGTACCTTATGATTCTTGATGAACGTATCTTTTCTTTTATGTACTCCGAGAGCGTATGCACCAACAAATTCCTTGTGTGTCCAATCACACTTGGCCAATAAATAATTCTATTCTATTCTATTCTATTCTATTCTATTCTATTCTATTCTATTCTTCTCAGACCTTGGAATAGAATAGACGAGCACCGGAACGTTTCAACCTTTCCCATAATTTTAGTTTCCAAAGCAAACTGGATTTTATTTTTTTCATGGTAGGCTTGTGGGCTCCAGCAAAGTCTGGAAATGAGTCATCTTACCATAAGTCTCTACCGGAGAAGGCAAGAAGGAGCAAGGGACCAAAAAACACATCACTGAGCCTTAAGTAGTAGCATGTGATGTTACTCAACACATGCAAAAAGGTGGAGCTTGCATCCTATCGTCACGAATCATGTCTTGCTCCTATGGTGTTATTATGGCTAGGAACAGATGCAGAGATGGGCTGCTGGGGGTTTGCAGGGTTCGGGAGAACCTCTAGCTAAGATTCTGTGCAGTTTAGAAGAACCCCCAAATTCCACTCCTGGCTGGCCCCACCCACCCCTCCCCTCCCAGGAGTCCTCACGCATCCTGTTTTGGATGCAGGTAAGTGCATGGCGTGCACGGAGGCTCGGGGGTGGGTGGGTGAAAAACGGGCCTACTGGAAGTTCGGGAAGGCTGGAAACAGGCCTGTATCCAGCCACCTGTTTCCAGCCTCCAGAGGGCCTCTGGAGCCTGGGGAGGCTGTTTTTGCCCTCCCAGAGGCTCAAGGAAAGCCTCCGGAGCCCGGGGAGGGCAAAAATGTCCCTTGCTAAAATTTTTGAAGCCCACCCCTGAACAGATGTCTAAGCATAGAATAGTGGTCTGGGATGGATAATGGATGGGACCATGGGACAACCATGCCTTGTGTCTTCTGGAATTGTTGGGAATCCTCAACATGGTTGAATTGGCTTTAAAAAGGGCTTCCTCAATTTGGGATCTTTTAGAGCAGGGGTCCTCAACCCTCGGGCCATGAACCAGCACTGGTCTATGGCCCATCAGGAACCAGGACACACAAGCAAGCGAAGCCCCATCTGTGCAGATTCAGGCAGTGGGCGAAATCATGCCCCTTCCCCAGTCTGCAGAAAAACTGCCCTGAATGGAACCGGTCCCTAGTGCCTGAAAGATTGGGGGCCACTGTTCTAGAGCCAGTTTGGCCTAATGGTAAAGGTGCTGGCTTAGGAGCTAAGAAACCATGAGTTCTAGTCTCACCTTAGGCGTGAAAGCCAGCTAATGTGACTTTGGGCCAATCACCAGGAGACAGTGAGTTCTAGTCTCCCCTTAGGCATAAAAGCTGGATGGGTGGCTTTGGGTCAATCACCAGGAAATGGTGAGTTTAGTTCCACCTTAGGCATGAAAGCCAGCTATGTGACTTTGGGCCAATCACCATGAAATGGTGAGTTCTAGTCTCACCTTAGGCATGAAAGCTGGATGGGTGGCTTTGGGCCAATCACCAGGAGACTGTGAGTTCTAGTCCCATTTTAGGGATGAAAGGCAGCTGGATCATTTTGGGCCAGTCACTCTTTCTCAACCTATCTCACCTCACAGGGTTGTTGTTGTGAAGACTGTAGGAGCAGGAAGGAATAGTAGATATGCCCATTGCGTTCTCATATGTACATACAACAGTAATAAAAGTGAGCCAGGCTAAGATTCGATATTGGGATAAAACTCAATTATTAGAAATCCAAATCTTGGTCAAGACAGAAGTGCCTCTTCCGTGCCAAGTGCTGAGATGACAAACGGTATTTGACGTAGGTACAGAATTGTAAAAGGGCAAACTGACCCTAAACAGATACATCCTGCTGTTCAATGTTTATTGCACCCCAAATGTCATGTAGATTCTAGAGAGGAAATACTGTTTTCCTTACTGTCCTCTTTACTGCTTGTGAGGCACCTTGAGCCCCTTATCTCCTTTTATGTCTTGAGCTCCGGAGCTGAAAACCTGAGCCTGTGGGAACAGGGCTGTTATGTCTTTCCTAGAAATAGATTAAAGGGTAGCTTCTGCGTGTGAAATGCATCACTCTCTGTAATAATTTTGCCTTTATACTGTATAAATATCTGGTCAAAATCGGCCATCTTTGTTCAGACCCTTCGCTGTCTTTGACTGTTTGAACCTTGCGCAATAAACTCTTTCCTGCACTGAAGAGCTTGCTCTAGTCCGTCATTTTTCCTATAACAAAAGCAGGATGAAAAACCAAATAAATAAATTCTTCTATTAGGCTACTGCCCCCACCAAACCCTAGCCAGCGGGTTTGTGAAACATTCTGCTTCCAGCAAGATTCTCCTTATCCAAATTCATTTCTTTTGAGCACCTAAGAATTGTTTTATCGAGCGATATACTCCTCTCAAAATTTTGTTATTGCAAGTTTTTCTCTCTCTCCCCCCCCTCCCCCATGTTCTTTCTGATAGGAAACTTTTGCCATTTTCATCTTCGGAGCAGAATTTGCCTTAAGGATCTGGGCAGCTGGCTGCTGTTGTCGATACAAGGGCTGGCGTGGAAGGCTGAAATTTGCCAGAAAGCCTCTCTGTATGTTGGGTAAGCATGTGACGCTTTTACATCACGGCTTCTTTTCCGAGCAGGAGTGGAAAATAAATCAGTCACAGGTTTCTTTCTTTCTTTCTTTCTTTCTTTCTTTCTTTCTTTCTTTCTTTCTTCCTTCTTTCCTTTCTTTCTTTCTTTCTTTCTTTCTTTCTTCTTCTTTCTTTCTTTCTTCTTTTTTCTTTCTTTCTTTCTTTCTTTCTTTCTTTCTTTCTTTCTTTCTTTTTTTTTTTTTTGCTCAGAAACACCAAAATAGACTCTGCCATTGTAATGAACCCCTCCATCCATCACTCTTAACTAAGCATTAACTTGTGGCTTGGATGCTTGATGGCCGCGTGGCCACTAGATGGCACTCAAGGACCACCCAAAATAAAGGAATTCTATTTTTCTTTTTTTAAGGAAAAAAAATAAATAGCCCAGGTCTAATGAGATAAGTGTTTATTTCTTCCCTTTGATTTGTATTCTAACTTTTCTCCAACTGAAGACGACCTATATGTAGCATTCTAAACCATCAGGGCTTCTCTAGCACGATTACAACAACCCCGTTTCGTAGTGTGGAAGGACAGACTACCCAAACTGATGATAAACACATTGTTCTCATTTCTGCCCTTCCCTTCTCGGCCCTCCCCCATCATCAGGACGACCCATCTGCCAATCCAACCGGAGCTGTCAATCAAGCACCCACAGACTTGACTAGGTGGCTCATTGGCTAAGACACTGAGCTTGTCGATCAGAAAGGTCGGCAGTTCGGAGGTTCGAATCCCTAGTACAGGTCTCCTGCGTGAGCAGGGGGTTGGACTAGATGACCTCCAAGGTCCCTTCCAACTCTGTTACTGTATTTAAATGAACCGTCATAAATCGAGGACTACCTGTATTGATAATGTTTTGGAGATGTGTAGGTCAGGGGTCCCCAGCCCCTGGTCCGTGGACAGCCACTAGTCCACTGTATGCCACCAACCTGTCCGCGCAAACAAGCGAAGTCCCATCCGCGGGATGTAGGCAGCATGCAAAACCACGCCCCTTCCGGTCCACGGAAAAAACTTTTCTCCGGTCCCTGGTGCCCAAAAGGTTGGGGGCCACTGGTGTAGGTGATATTCTCATCATCCTAAGACAACTTAAGTAGATAGAGCTGCAAACAAGGAAATTAGATGAACTTGAAACAGATGTATTTTTTTTTAATTCCCCAAGAGTGTTGTGGCCTGTTGGCCACTGGTCCCTCCGGCAGCTGAATCAGATGAGGAGGAGGTGTGGGAGTCAGGGCCAGCATGAAGGCAACCTGAGAGCTCTGAGGGGGAAGAGGGAATGGAGCTGGCAGACAGAGAGACAGAGGCAGAGCCTGAGCCGTCCATCAACCCTCAGATGGAGAGTCAACAGCCTCCAAGTCTGGAGGTGGCTGATGAGGAAGAGGAGGAACAGCTGGGCCCAGTGCCTAACAGAAGGCAGAGGAGAGGAGAGCAGTGGAAATCTATGGGCTGGTCCTTAGGATGGAACAGCCACCGGTGCTAGTGAAGTCCCACCCTAGCTCTGGGGATAAAAGGCAGGGGGCGGAGATTATAGATGTGCAGACAACTATTCCTCTCCCTGCCAGACAGACTTGTAGGCCTGCTGTGAGACTTTTTGCTGGGGCTGCTGGTGTTCCTACTAAAGGAAACATTTAGTTAACTACAGAGGGCTTGTCGTGTTTGGGCCAGAACATCTAGATTTTCATGCCATCTAGATTTTCAAATGAATCCCGGATCCTTTCTTTGGGCAAGATTTGTTCTCTATCTCTCTGCGCAGATATCTTCGTACTGATCGCCTCTGTCCCAGTGGTAGCTGTTGGCAACCAAGGCAATGTCCTAGCTACATCTCTGAGAAGTCTCCGTTTCCTCCAGATCCTAAGGATGCTGCGTATGGACCGGAGAGGTGGCACCTGGAAGCTTCTGGGATCAGCTATTTGTGCACACAGCAAAGTAAGAAGGGAAGCGATTGGAGAGAATGCTGGTAGTTCAGGGTTGAACTGTGGGGTCCTCGGTGCTCTCTGAGCTTGCTTCTTTTTTTGCAGACGTTTCATTACCCAACTAGGTAACGTCATCAGTGCTAGAAGGAAATGGGGAAGATGTGGGGAAAAGAATAGAATGAAAGCAATGTAGCCATGAGGGATAAATTATCCACAGAAGCATCTCCAGATTGAGTACTCATAGTAGTTTGGGGATTTATTTATTTTTTGTAATTTTATTTATGGTGTTTCCCCCCCCCCTTCAACATATTATTGTCTGGGTCAATTTCCTCTATACAAAATACTGGCAACAATAATAGTATTATTTAAATATACATAGTAATAGTCTTTTTTATTTTATTTTTTTTGTTTCTAAGATTTACATATACCTTGTAATTATAATGTATTATATTTTGTAGCAGTATATATGGTAGTGTTTTCCCAATTTCTGCTTTCTGTCCCTTATTTCTAACCTCTACCACAGCAATTCCCATATTTATTTTATTTTATTTTATTTTATATATATTATATATTAAAAATATTATGTACCTATCCATCATCTCTTATTTTTTTTTAACTTTTTAAGCATACATAAAAGTAGTCTTAACTTCTAACATTTATTTGTACATAGCCTGTTTCCCCCAAAATAAGACATCCCCTGATAATAAGCCCAATCGGGCTTTTGAGCGCATGGCAGTGGTGAAATCTAAAATTTGTCACTACCGGTTCTGTGGGCGTGGCTTGGTGGGGAGGGTAATATGACTGGGTGGGCTTGGCCAATTTTTATTTTACTTTTAAAACCATTTTTTACATGTAAAACCATGTAAAAAAATGCTTTCAAAAGACTCGGACAATCCCAGCTGAGTTGCCTGATCGCCAGAGGGTTTTTAAAAAACCCTCTGCCAAATCAGGCAACTCAGCTGGGATCATCAGAGCTTGGATCGTCAGAGCCATTTAAAAGAAAAAAAGCCTCTGATGATCGCGCGGCTCAGCTGGGCATGGGGGGCGGGGGCAGGGATTTTTGCTACCAGTTCTCCGAACTGCCCGCTGCCATCGCTACCTACTCGCCCGAGCTGGTCCGAACTGGGAGCATTTCACCCCTGGTGCATGGCAATAAGGCCAAGCATTTATTTCAGGGTTCAAAAAAATATAAGATAGGATCTTATTTTCGGGGAAACACAGTAGTAACGATAGTAACTTCTATCATAGTTGGGGATCATTTCTAAGGGTTGGTGTAAGAATGGATCCATTACCCACCTCAAGGGAAGGTCTACTGACATAAACCTTTGGATCTACTCCATGTTGATCTTTACACAACAGCCTGCTCATCTGCTAACCTTTCATGCCAGTTTAGATAGCAGGAACATATCTGAGCAGAAATAGTAGGTGCTTCTATTTCTTATCCGTGGTAATCACTGAAGATAATCTCTTGTCATGCCAAAGAAAATGAGAAGTCGCTAGCAATGATGTGGGTGAGAAGATTGATTTGTGAAGAAAGAGCGAACTTTCTGAGGTTCTTCTCCAAAGCAGCCCAAACTCTTGGGACAATCCTGAAGGGTACAGCTTACCGGTCAGGATAAATTAATTTAATTAGGTTGAATGTTTCCTTGCTTATCCAAGTAGCTTCTTTGGACCGACTGAAGAAGCTACTTGGATAAACAGCATAACACTTCAAACCAAAAAAGGAAAAGAATTCCAGTTGCTATGACACCACTTCCAGACAACTCTACCTGGATGGCTGAGAATCTTCATCAACTTAATTTAATTAGCTTAAATTAGGACTCTCATGATCGGTTGAGTGTTTTCCTTTTGCTTATGGCAACCTATTCCGTTTTAGGAGCTCATCACTGCCTGGTACATTGGATTCTTAACCCTCATCCTCTCCTCGTTCCTGGTTTACCTGGTGGAGAAGGACGTGCTTGAAAAAGACGAGGATGGAAAAGAGACCAAAGAGTTTGGGACTTATGCTGACGCCCTCTGGTGGGGACTGGTCAGTATTAACGGTGATCCAGTTCATTTGTTTTAGATCTTATGTCTGAACACGGCAGAAGTTTTCTACTTTATGGGACTTGCATGGGCTGTGTGTTCATACCTCATTGCTGACCCGGTTAGTTAGTCCTAGTTGTACAGTCTGTTAGGCCTGGGTATTGTTAGTACCAATGAGTGTGGTGGGTCTGCATGTTTTACGATTTGACTTAGAGTGGATACCCAGGTAAATAGGTGAAATGTGCAACCAAAATTCCTGATTCTTGTAAACACAGCTGCTGAGTGGTATTGATTATAGGTTGAGGAAGGAAGGAAGGAAGGAAGGAGGGAGGGAGGGAGGGAGGGAGATGGATGGGGAGCGATAGAGGGAGGGGGTAAGAGAAGGAAGGGAGATGGGTTGGGGAAGGAAGAAAGAAAAAAGGAAATTAAGGAGATGGATGGAAGGTAGGGATGAGTAAGAGAAGGAAGGGAAACAGGTGCAGGAGGGAGGGAGGAAGGAGGCAGGCAGAAGGAAGGAAGGAAGGAAGGAAGGAAGGAAGGAAAGGAAGGAAGGAAGGAAGGAAGGACGGAGGATGAAAAAAGAAGGATGGATGGCAGGGGAGATAAGAGAAAGGGATAGGTGGGCGAAGAAGGTAGGAAGAAAGGAAAGAAAGAAAGGAGTAGGATGGATGGAGAGATGAGAGAGGGAAGGGGGAGGGGGATGGGAGGGATGGAGGGAAAGAGTAGGAGAAGGAAGGAAGGAAGGAAGGAAGGAAGGAAGGGGAGATAAATAGAGAAAAAAGATAGGGAAATAGGGAAGGATAAGGGAAGAGAGGAGGAAAAGGGAGAGGAGAGAGGAGATAAAAAGAAGGAGAGGATGGAGAGGGAGGGAGATAAGAGAAGGAAGGGAAGAGGAAGGAAGGAAGGAAGGAAGGAAGGAAGGAAGGAAGGAGGAGGAAAGAAGAAGGAAGGAAGGAAGGAAGGAAGGAAGGAGGAGAAACATTTTACAGTTCTGCACTGTATTCCAACAGACTGAAAATCTTACAGAGAGTAGTAGATGTCCAGGGCTCCTCCAGGACGTAGCAACTCAGGCTTACCAGTCAGATGAGATGCAGAGATCTGGGTGTGGAAGGGGGCATCTGGAAGTGCCAAGGAATCATTCTTCTTGCCCGTTTGCTTTGTCTTTCTTACAGACTGTCCCAAACCTTCTCCCCACAGATTACGCTGGCAACAATCGGCTACGGGGACAAGACACCCAAAACGTGGGAAGGGCGCTTGATCGCAGCTGCGTTTTCGTTAATCGGAGTTTCATTTTTTGCCCTTCCGGCTGTAAGTTTCATCAAGGACTTCCTGAGACATGAGGGTGCCCCGCCCTGAAATCTTTCTTGCAATTCCACAAAGTTTCTTCCTCCAAAAACAAAAAGGCATCAGTTTCTTTAATATTGCTTGAGAATTTCTTCCTAATTTCTCCTTTAATTTTGGAGGTAGTGAAGATGTTGCTAGCTTCTGTGCTGTGTCTTTCCATCTCTCTGGAGCCCTCCTGGCTGCTCAAAAAGTTTCAATACAGGTAGTCCTCAACTTACGGCCACAATTGACACACACATACATGGGGCAAATCTCTGTTGTTAAGTGAGGCATTTGTTAACTGAGGTTTGCTCTGTTTTACGACCTTTCTTGCCACGGTTGTTAAGTGAATCTGGCTTCCCCGTTGACTTTGCTTGTCAGAAGGTCGCAAAAGGGGACCTTGGAACACAGCAACGGTCATAAGTATGAAGCAGTTGCCAAACATCTGAATTTTGATCATGGGGGAAATGCTTCAAAAGTTGTAACTTTGAAAAAGGTCTTACGTCACTTTTTTTTTAGTGCGTTGTAACTTTGAACAGTTACTAAATGAATTATTGTAACTTGAGGACTACCTGTATAACAGAACTGGAGGTTTTTAAGAAGAGACTGGACAGCCACTTGTCTGAAATGGTATAGAGCAGGGGTCCCTAAACTTGGCAGCTTTAAGACTTGTGGATTTCAACTCCCAGAATTTTGAGCAGTTTGGAGAACCGGCAAATACCATCTCTGGCTGGCCCCAGAGTGGGGTGGGAATGGAGATTTTGCAGTATCCTTCCCCTGGAGTGGGTGGGATTGGGGGTTTTGCAGTATCCTTCCATGGCCACCAAGCCACACCCACCAAGCCACACCATGCCCACCAAGCCATGCCCACAGAACCGGTAGTAAAAAAAATTTGGATTTCACCACTGTACCATTATAACGTACTACCGTAATATGCAAGCTCCATTACAGTCATAATATAAGTACAACCTGTATATCCTTACACAGGATATGGGTAATAAACAGGAGGAACTAGAAATCCTAACACAGGAAAGTAATGATAAATATCTGTTAAATATCACCCAAACTTGGTGAGTGGGAGGCAGTGGGTTTCAAATTTTTTTACTACTGGTTCTGTAGGTACGGCTTGGTGGGCGTGGCTTGGTGGGCGTGGCAGGGGAAGGTTACTGTAAAATCTCCATTCCCTCCCCACTCCAGGGGAAGGATACTGTAAAACTCCCATTTCCTCCCGATCAGCTGGGACTCGGGAGGCAGAGAATAGATGGGGGCGGGGCCAGTCAGAATTTTTACTATCGGTTCTCTGAACTACTCAAAATATCTGCTACCGGTTCTCCAGAACCGGTCAGAACCTGCTGAAACCCATTTCTGGTGGGAGGCATGCTTGGAATATTGAATCCAAGAAAGTTAGTTCCAAGAAAAGGGAAGGCAGAACAGAGGGAAGAAATTGGCATTCTTGACTGTGAAAGCACCAACAACAGCAGATGGTGATAAAGTTGTATTCTTTATCTTATACTCTTCTCGCTATAATTTTTATGAGCATTTGTATCCTGTTTCCCCGAAAATAAGACCCAACCGGAAAATAAGCCCTAAAATGTTTTTTTCAGGATGCTCGTAATATAAGCCCTACCCCCAAAATAAGACCTAGTTAAGATCGGCAGCCAGATGGAAGCATTTAATATTTAATATAAGTATTTTCCCCAAAATAAGACCTAACCAGAAAACAAGCCCTAATGCATCTTTTGGAGCAAAAAATTCATATAAGACCTGGTTTTATTTTCGGGGAAATACAATAGTCTCATATCTCACTTTCTCCAGGCTTCCTTGGACCATATTCAGCTTCTGCTGTCCTGAAAAAAAAAATAGGAGAAAGAACAGATCCCCGACTCCTTGTTATGTGGTCACCCCGAGGGAGAGTTTTTTTTTTTTCTTCATCCTATGCTTTTCACGAAGAAATATCTCAAGTATTGATTTGTTCGTCTTGCCTTGCAGGGCATTTTGGGTTCAGGACTGGCTCTAAAAGTCCAGGAACAACATCGCCAAAAGCACTTTGAAAAAAGAAGGAAACCGGCAGCTGAACTCATACAGGTTTGCACGTCCTGTTTTTCCATAACACGCAGAGGTGGGCTGCTGGGGGTTCGCACAGGTTCGGGAGAAACTCTAGCTAAGATTCTGTGCAGTTTGGAGAACCCCCATAACCCACTCCTGGCTGGCCCCTCCCACCCTAGTGCCTTAGTGCCCTAGTGCCCTGTAATGGGGTGAGCTCCTGTTACTTGTCCCAGCTTCTGCCAACTTAGCAGTTCGAAAGCACGTAAAAAATGCAAGTAGAAAAATAGGGACCACCTTTGGTGGGAAGGTAACAGCGTTCCGTGCGCCTTTGGCGTTTAATCATGCTGGCCACATGACCATGGAGACATCTTCTGACAGCGCTGGCTCTCGGCTTTGAAACGGAGATGAGCACTGCCCTCTAGAGTCGGGAACGACTAGCACTTATGTGCAAGGGGAACCTTTACCTTTAACACCCTTCAAATGCAGGATGAAGACTCAATTGCTCAATATATTTAGTTGATTAATACTCAATACTTGGATAATCTATAAAAATTTCTCCCATAACATTTGTTTATTAGACATACACATACAAGGACCTACATTTCTCATACTTCTCTTGTGTTCTCTAGGCTGCCTGGAGGTACTACGCTACTAATCCTAATAGGATAGATCTTGTTGCCACATGGAGGTTTTACGAGACTGTGGTATCATTCCCATATTTCAGGTAAGTTCTGTACATTGGGACATTTTTGGTTCAGTGTCTCAACTTAAGTTCATTTGAAGGATCGTCTAAGCCAAACTGGAGGGGAAGACATATGAAAGGACCAGTTTTGTAATGGAAAAGTAGGAGAAGGGGTGTTGTTATCCCTAGAAGACTCCCTTTTTCAGTGTCTTCTTGCTACCTGAGGATTATGGGAGTTCAGGTCTAGCATGTCAAAAGGAGCTCAATTGGGAAGATATTTGATATTCTAGCAGAGAACGGATTCTTTGTACGAGGATCCTTATGTCTATGAAGATTCTCAGTCATTCAGGTCATTCAGTCATTCACGGCCGCGCGGGTGGTTATGGGAACGACATGGCGTTCCCATGTAACACCTCTCCTGCGCGAGCTGCACTGGCTCCCGGTGGTTTTCCGGGTGCGCTTCAAGGTTTTGGTTACCACCTTTAGAGCGCTCCTTGGCTCAGGACCTAGGTACTTGCGGGACCGCCTGCTACCACCAATAGCCTCCCACCGGTCGGTACGCTCCCATAGAGAGGGGCTCCTCCGGGTGCCGTCGGCCAAACAATGTCGACTGGCGGCCCCCACTGGGAGAGCGTTCTCTGTGGGGGCACCTACTATCTGGAATGAGCTCCCCCCGGAGATACGGACGATCCCGGATCTGTGAACCTTCCGTCGCGCTCTCAAGACTTTTTTATTCCATCAAGCCGGCCTGGCCTAAATCTTTCCCCTTTAAAATGTAAATTTTAATTTGTTTTTAAAATTATTGGGTGTTTTAAATTTGTCTCGGCCAAATTGTTTAATTCGGTTTTATTCTGTTTTTAAATTTTGTATTTATGTGTTTTATTCTGTGGCTGTTCACCACCCTGAGTCCTTCGGGAGTAGGGCGGTATACAAATCCAATAAATGAAATGAATGAATGAAGAAACGTCTTCAGCTCTGACTGGATGGTGGGGAATGAAAGGATTTGTACCCCTTGCAGACAGCTGGTCATTTGCATTCTTTTAGAGAGTCTTTGAGGCCACCTGGAGGTTTATCTGTGTCATCAGGGTCACCTAGGTAGTTCAAATAGGTGTGGAGCCTTCTTGGAACTGTTGAAAGGACTGTGTTGTAGACTGGAGATAGATGATGTCATATCCCTCCCCCTCTGTTGAGAGAGGGATGTTCGGTTTTGACATAGATGGCCTCTTTGACCCCTCTTTCAAACCAGCGGTCCTCTCTGTCCAAAATGTGGACTTGGCTGTCTTCAAAAGAGTGGCCTGTGTCTTTTAAATGCAGACGGATTGCTGAATCTTCTCCTAATGGGTTTGTTCTCCTATGTTGTACCATGCATTTATGAAGTTATGAAATTTACAACAGTGACAAGGAAAGCCGTAAAATGTGGCAAAACTCACTTAACAAATTTCTCACTTAGCCATATAAATATTGGGCTCAATTGTGGATAGAATAGAGCAGGAAAAAAAATGTATGAGCAGAGTCCCTATTGGCAGACTTTGCACAACAGGCTTAATGAAAACCAGGTGTCGTTTGTACAGCATGCAAAGCTTGGTTAGTTTTAACCTGATTTTGCTTTATTGTATCTCTTTGCCTGTGCAAAGTGAAACCATTGGATTTACACAAACATATCATTCAAACGCATCTGATTCTTAATCCTGTAACTGGGTTAAATATGATATGCAAATGTAGCCTCTAGGTGTCAAAACCGATTACGCTAATTTCCTTTGAAGTTTAATATCCTATGTTTTCCCCATTGTTTTGTTCTCACTTTTTTCTCTCTGTTTCAATTTTCCCAAAGGAAAGAACAAGTGGATGGAACCAGGTATGTCCTTCGGATCTCCAGTGTGGTTCCTTTTAATAGAGCATCCTTTTCTAAGGTGGCTTCCTTCAGAGGAGTTATGGAGGTTGGGGGAAGTGACGTTTGAAAGGCAGCATTCAAAAAATTTAAGGCAGACATATCGGTAGAACACAATACAGTCAGTCCTTGTCTTACAACCATTCGCTTAGTGACCAAGTTACAGCAACACTGAAAACAGTGACTATTTATGACTATTTTTTCTCACTTATAACCATCGTAGCATCTCCTTAGTGGAGTGGTGCGGTGGCCTAGAGGTGGAGCTCTCGGCTCAAAATCAGGAGGCTGTGAGTTTGATCCTAGGTAGAGGCAGATATTTCTCTCTCTGGGCACAATGAGAATGTATCTGCTGAACAAAACTCGGCATTGGCAACAGGAAGGGCATCCGGCCAGTAAACACTCAGCTCATTCAGTTGCCCTGACTCCACCCCGCAAGGGATGATGGGGTCGTTAAAAGGTGATGATGATGATGTAGCATCTCCTTGGTCATGCGATCAAAATTCAGATGCTTGGCAATGAGCTCATATTTATGGTGGTTGCATGGTCCCAAGGTCCCTGAACCCCTTTTGCGACCTTCTGATGAGCAAAGGTCAATGGGGAAGCCAGGTCCGCTAAACAACCATGTTAGTAATTTAACAAGTGCAGTGATTCACTTCAAAACTGTGGCAAGAAAGCTGGGGCAAAATTCACTTAACAAATGTCTCACTTAGTAACAGAAATATTGGGCTGAATTGTGGTCGTAAGTCGAGAACTAACTGTGGTCTACGGTGATCTTAGAAGAACTAAGAAGATAGTGGGATAAAGGAAGGTTAAAAGCAGGGGTGAAATCCAGCAGGTTCTGACAGGTTCTGGAGAACCGGTAGCGGAAATTTTGAGCAGTTCAAAGAACCGGCAAATACCACCTCTGCCTGGTCCCAGAGTGGGATGGGAATGGAGATTTTGCAATATCCTTCCCCCAGGAATGGGGAGGGAATGGGGATTTTGCAGTATCCTTCCCCCAGGAATGGGGAGGGAATGGGGATTTTGCAGTATTCCTTTCCCTGGAGTGGAGTGAGAATGGAGATTTTTGCAGTATCCTTCCCCTGCCCCGCCCACCAAGCCACGCCCACAGACCCGGTAGTAAAAAAAAATTGGATTTCACCACTGGTTAAAAGGGAGAGAAAGGTGAGAAAGAGTCCACGAGGAAAGAAAGAGAAAGACACAGGAGATTTGTCTCAGCTGAGGGAGCATTTTCCTCCCACTGTCGGCCTCAGATGAGGGCTATTTTTATCCTTTCCTTGGAGAATTTAGCAAATTAGAACAACCAAATTCTCACTTCAAGGTTTGAGAAATCACCAAGAAGCTGTCAGAAGAAATGGGTGGAGAGGAGAGAAATTAACATAGCCTGTCTCCTCCTTGGTTTGAAGAGACAGAGAGAAGAAACAGGAGGCATTTTAGCATAGCCCTCAGCGGAAGGCAGGCTGTCTACATTGTAATGCAAACCCAAAATGTCTTCCTTAACTGACCGGATTTGGTGAACCTGGATGTTGGAATTGCGGATTATCCCAGTGTCTCAGAAATAGACTATTCCTTTTTCATCTTACATCAAATTCTTATTCTGAAAAAAAATAAAGCCTAAACTAATATTTGGCAAGAAGAAAGAGAAGTATAAGTTTGGTGTAGTGTGGTGATGGCTAATCTTTTTGCCACTGCGTGCCAAAAGCGGGGGGAGCATGGGGGTGTGTGTGTCACGCGCATGCGTGTCTACACCCATAATTCTATGCACCCCGCCCCCGCGCATGTGCACGAGACACCCCCCCTTACGCTCCCCACACTTTTGGCATGTGATGGCATGGTGGGCCCAGTAGGCCCGTTTTTTGTCCTTCCCAGGCTCCAGAGGCTTTCTAGGAGTCTGGGGTGGGTGAAAACGGGCCTTTCTCACCCCGCCAGGCCTTCCGGAGGCAGGAAACAGCCTGTTTCCCTACTTCCGGTGGGCCCAGAAGGCCCGAAAATCAACTGGCTGGCACGTGCATGCGCGCCGGAGCTGAGCTCGGGTGCTCACCAATATGGCTACACGTGCCACCAGTGGCACGTGTGCCATAGGTTCGCCATCACGGATCTAGTGGTTAAAGTGCTGGCCTAGGAGCCAGGAGATGGTGAGTTCTAATCCCACTTTAGGCATGAACACTAGTTTGGTGATTTTGGGTCTCTATCACCAGGTGACTGTGAGTTCTAGTCCCACTTTAGGCATGAAAGCCAGCTGGGGGACTTTGGGCCAATCACCAGCAGATGGCGAGTTCTAGTACAGCCTTAGGCACGAAAGCTGGTTGGATGACTTTGGGCAACCATCAATGCAAGGTGGTAATCATACTGAATACTCCTTCCCACTCCTACCGTATTTTTCGGAGTATAAAATGCACCTTTCCCCCCCCCAAAGAGGCTGAAGATTTGGGTGCGTCTTATACTCCGAATATAACTTTTTTGAAGCTTTTTTTCAGCCCTAACGAGGCTCTAACAAGGCACTAGCGAGCGATCTTCCCAGCTTTAATGAGGCGCTAGTGAGCGAAGCGATCTCCATGCTTTGCTCCGACTCTCAGCTGTTCTTTAGAAGCTTTTTTCCAGCCCTAACTAGGCGCTAGCCGAGTGAAGCGATCTCCCCCTGTGCTTTGCCTGCTTTTCTCATTGCTGCTTCCTCTCAGCTGTGCCTTAGAAGCTGTTTTTTATCCCCAAGCAGGGGATAAAAAACCAGCAAACGAATGTGCTGAAGCTGACCCAGACTAAGGACGCTAGCCAGATGAATACCTGGTAGGCAGATTTTTTTCCCCTATTTTCCTCCCCGCTGCGTTTTATACTCCGGTGTGTCTTATACTCCGAAAAATACGGTATTTTTCCCATAACCACAATCCTGTGAAGCGAGTTGGCCTGCCAGAGAGTGACTGACCTGAAGTCACTAAATTGGTGGCTTTCATGCCTAAGGCAAGACTGGAACTCACAGTCACCTGGTGATTGGCTGAAAGTCACCCAGCCGATTTTCACGCCTAAGGCGCGACTAGAACTCATGGTCCCCTGATGATTGGTTCTACTTAAAACCCCTCACTTTTAAAGGAAAAAGAACAGAAAAACAGTTGTGCATGGGGACACACACACACACACACACACACAAACACAAACACACAAACACTGAGCCATTTTTTTCCATCAGATTTCAGTGGCCCTTTTAAGGGAGCAACGAAGAAGGCTGTTTATCTCACTGGCTGTTACCCACCTGATGTACAAACTAGATTTAAAACAAGGGATTTAAAAAAAAAAAAAAGTTGACCCTTTTCCTTATCTTTTTTAGCCAAAAGCTGGGTCTCTTGGATCGGGTTCGTGGTAGCAATCCTAAAGGAAAGCTGTTTACTCCTCTGAATGTAGAAGCAATTGAAGAAAGTCCTTCCAAAGAGTCCAAGAACGTTGTCCTGATTAACCGAGATCGATTGCGCACTGCCTTCCGAATGAAAGCTTATGCATTCTGGCAAAGCTCAGAAGGTAAACTTCCTTTTCTTTTCTTTTCTTTTCTTTTCTTTTCTTTTCTTTTCTTTTCTTTTCTTTTCTTTTCTTT